CCCCCCCCCCCTCTATATAATGTATAAATAATATTAAATATATATACCAAGTTATAATATTTATTCCTCAGTTGCCTTTGGAGCTTCATCAGTGATATGTCCTATTCTGGCCCAAATCCAGGACCCCTAAATGGTGTAAAATGTTTGAATGCATCTGGGTTTAATATGTCATGCCAAACAGAAACTACAGGTGGAAAACATTTGTCTGCCTTCTTGAACTAGAGGATAGAGCAGGGAACACGACAACAAGATTGTATCCAGCTGTTAAAAGCCTTTGTTGTGTTTATGTTGTGTCCCAATTACTAGAGTCCCTCAGTGGTCAACCTGGGCTCTGTTTTCAATGCAAAAACCACATCACAAGAGAGATTTGGACATAAACAAAAAGTCTCACAATAATAATGCTGAATAAAACCCTGACCTGAAAATGTCTAGTTGCTGAGATTGCTCAGAACAATATATTTATTTAATGTAAAATTAGGTCAGTGAACAAAGGTAGAAGAGCTTTTGAGCATGCAAAATCGTTTTATGCAGATGAACGCTGCAGTTACATGTGTAACAAATGTGAAGCTGTTGTCTGAAAAATCATCTCACTGATCATGTACCCCCTGAAAGCTATTTTGCAAGTTTTTTCGTCATTGCATATTAAAAGGCCAAAATAAACAGACAGTCTTACCTCCAATAAAAGCTCTAGTCAGGAGAACTATCGCAACAGCGGAGAGCTTCATTTTGCAGACCCGTAGGCTCCATAAACCCAACTAAACTTCAAGAAAAGAAAGGAGTCCCTGGGATTTTCTCTCCTTTTCTTTCTGTTTCTCCCTCTCAGTGTGTGTGTGTGTGTGTGTGTGTATGTAATCTGAAACAGTGTGTGCTCTGTTCCCAGTTAGAAACACCCCTTTCCCAGTCTTTCTTTTTTCACCCACTCTCCTTTTCTTTTTCTCTTTTTCTATCCTGTAATCACTCCCCCTGCCAGTTCAAAGTACATAGGAAATGTCATTTCCTGAGAGAACCTTTGGAAGCAGCACAAATTTTCAGCTGGACCTATAGTATAGGAGAATTGGCCAGGTCTTAGTAGTGTTTACATCCTTATAATGAGTGAAGTGGACTGTCACTAAGCTTAAAGGAATTGTTTACCCGAAAATGAAAATTAATGTTGATCCAAACTCATATGACTTTTTTTCTAGTGGTAAACACAAAGAAGATATTTTAATGTTGCGTAGTGTAGTTTATTTCTTCCATGCAATTACAGTGATTGTGACTGAGGTTTTTAAACTTTAAAAAGGACATAGTAATCTAGTCTGAAAAACTCAAGAACTATACATAATTTATACAAAATATATAAAAGCTTTGTGCAACAAACTGACCAAACGTATAAAGAAATTTCATACTTTGTATTCTACGGAAGAAAAAAAGTCATACAGGTTTAGAAAGACATGAGGATGAGTAAATGATGACAATCTTTAGACTTTTGGGTGAACTATCCCTACTTTGACTGAAATTAAAAATATGGCCTCTGTCTGGAGTTGTAATGTAGTTCCCTTTCAGTCAGTCACGTTCGACGTTACGTCAGTCGTGACTGACGAATTGGGATCTCGCTCGAGAGCCCAATCATCACCTTCGAGTGTTAACTAAACAAGCCAATGACAGTTGGCGTGCGTGTTTCGCCACGCGCACCCCGCCCCGCAGCGCGGGTATAAAAGGAGAGCGCGTGCAAACGCACATCAGCTTTTCGCTTCGGAGCCGAGCCTTCTAGCAAGACAAATCTCCGCGAGTGTTTTGAAAAACAGCTGGCGTTGGTGTTACGGCGTGTCAGCGGGGGTTGCCATCCAGGGTGCTGAAACCTCGGCGAGCTGCAGCTTCCATTCTGCGGTCCCGCCGCGACCTCCCCTGGGCGCTTCAGCGCTCTCTCTAAAAGAGTGTTTTTCCTTTCTAAAAGAGCAAATTCTAAAAGAGCTCAACGAGCGACAGGCGTCTTTTTAAAGATGGCTTCCCGCTCGTGCGTTTCTGGATGTGGTCGTTTCCTGGCTTCATCTGAAGGTCACGCTGCATCGGAGGGCGAGCTAGGCTCTGGAGATGAGGATTCGGCTGCGCTGCCTCCGTCAGGAAGAGTGGCGTTGCCCGAGTCAGATCCTGAGCTGACCGCTATGCTTTCCCGGGCCCCTCCTTCAGGGAACGAGGGTTACACAAGTAACCGAGACGTTTTCTGTCTTCACTGCACAGTTCTTGTCCACCCATCTCGTGGTTTGAAGCATAATGGTTTATTGGGTAGGGTAATGTGCTGAGCTAGTGGTTTCTCCTACTGACAACTGCTGCCAAGAGGAGTTGAATTACACAATGTGCTTATATATAGCAACAGAGTATAGGACTACAGCTTAACACATGTCCTGCCAGCACAATACTTTTGTCTTTAACTCTGTATTGTTCAGAAAAAAAATCTTTCCATTATTCTGACTGGATCAAAGAAGAATTTAAAGCATATATACAGCATGTTGTAATGGAGACAAAGCCTGTTGTGAATTTCACGGCCAAAAATAATACATGAAACATGTCGAACTAAATGAGCACATAAGCATGAAAATGGCAGTTATTGGTAAACTTTGATATGATGGAATCAGTCACTTTCATAAATCAGTTTTCCATTTTTCAAAGCATTTTGCAAAGCACAAGCCACATGATCAGAGTCTCAGCAGTCTCAATGAGTAGAAATTATGTATAAACAATTCTCTAAAAATGCTACCACTTATCTTTCAGGACTGCTTCCAACTCACGGATTACAACAAGGAAAAAAGGACTGTATTTTACATCTTTGGCTTTACATTCAAAATGGAATACTAGCATGCATTTACTCAATTTACTATATTGTTTTTTTTTATATATAAACATGTGAAATGGAATTAGCATCCAGTTATCATCCTGAAAAGAAGTACAGTTACTGTTACATAAATAACAAGTCAAAAAAACGTTAAAAATCACAGCTGGTTCCTTTACCATGTTGAAAATGTAAATTCGATTTAGGCACTCTGCATTGTGGAATACTGTTTTGAAAATGCATGCATTGGCTTACTGTACATACTGTATGCTGCAGAAATAGCAGTATAATGTGAGGCTATTCCAAAAAGCAGACAATATAGAAAACAGTAGTGACATTACTCCTGGAGTTAAAATTAGTATTTTTTCAAGCTCATTTATCAGGTTTTTCTTTGCACAACACCTGTTTTTTCTTTTCTAATTAACCAGCTAATCATGCCAGCAAAATGCAAGAGAAACTCAATTCATTTTGAAATAATTACATACCACATTCATTCCTGCTATCAGGACTCTACACTGACTCCATGTGGTTACAACACAGAAGATGCCAGATCCTCTCACATGGAACCAACTCATAGCTACGCATTTGCAAATATGACATCCACTTTATGCTCATATACTGTATATGGCTTTTATAGTTCAAGAATATGTAAAATGGTTCACTTTGTTCACAGTCTGGAAGCTTGTGTTCTGGATGACATTTTGCAGCAAACGTGTATAAACTGGTGCGTGTGTGTGTGCGCCAATAAAAAGGGTAAATGGTTATCACTTATTTCATGTTGCCCTTAGATAACGTAAGACACAGTGATTCTTTCACTTATTCAATTACAGTTTAAGACATTGCCCACCCGCAGACCTGACTCCTGCAGCGAAATCATGCATTTCATATCAGAGTAGATTAAAAGGGCTCATGGAGAGAAGCTCTCAGTCAATCAGTAAGTGGCTTGTTAATGTAATACACGAGTCAGCGGGAGAGACGGCACAATAACACTCACAACAACAACATCTTAGCTAATACAGGAGCCTCGTGGTTCGGTCTCTACCAGAGCATGTGAGCGAAGCGGAGCGCTGAGCGTATTGAGTGAGCGGAGCGGAATCTTCAGAAAGGCGCTCTGCGCTCTTAAGGAAATATTACCACTCCGCTCCCCGCTCACATGCTCTGGTCTCTACTATGGACATCTCCTGTTTGGTCAGTGCTGGGTACAGTATGGTGCTTGACCGACCTCCACAGATGCCTCTTAAAGTTTTTAATGGGAGTTAAAGACCAGGGGAAATAAAAAGGAGATGCGCTCTCATATCTCTGGTATATGTAGCATCTCGAGGGAGCTCTTGTTTAACTCATTTGGGTCACTCGCAAGGCAACAAAGCAACACAAAGACACCCTTCCATTAAATCACTCGCTCAGTTTGTTTGTTTATTGTCTCTGCCATTAGGGCAAATTATTCTCAGTTAATTGGTTTTATAATTATACCACTGGATATGCAGAGGACCAGCATTGTGGCACTCTAAAAAAGACCCAGTGTGGAAATGGGACTGTTTAATGACCTAGATTATTTACATATTATAGCCTGTTGCTGTTCCCCAGTATCGGTAAACCGTGATGTAAATTTCTGGGAATAAAAATCTCATCATGATCTTTGGATGTCAGCGATCCTAGTTTGAAACAAGGCTTATTAGCTGTGAACTACTGAAATACTGTAGTAGGCCCAGTGGATCAGCATTTAAAAAAAGCCCATAAGATTTGAGTTAAAAAAATAAATAAAAAGTGACGCATTTATAAAGGCATTTGTCACTCAGAATTCATCACAATTTAGTTTTTTTTTCTTGTAAAAGCATGCAGAGGAAGATCTATTGACATTTTCATTCAAATGACTGTGGGGTTTTAATAAAAAGAGACAGAGCAGGCCCCTCAGGAGGGAGTCATTTAGCTCAAGCTTTATTCAGGTGGGGGCGGTGGCTGATTAAGTCACAGACCAGCTAATATCCTTGATACAATCAATATCTGAGAACATTACAGGCGCCATAAGAAGAGCTATGCGTTATTTTCTCTCAGCGGCATTTTGTAAATGAGCCTGGGAGCAGTGACGTTATTCTAATACTTGATGGTCTAAGTACTTTCAGTGACTGTGCTTATTGACTGTGTTAATTATTTGCCTTTGATGCACACAGAGTTTATAACTCTATGAAAACAACTGTCATTTCAATTAAGATACAACAACTCTATCACAATTCATTTTGTTTGTGTTACGTGGACTTCATATTATGACAAAATGATTACCCCATTCTCCCCATCTGCCATTGGTTAGATAAATAGATAACCACACCCTAATCTCACGTCATTGGTTGAACCAATGTTCCTCCGTGTAAAGGCTGTGTGTCCTGCAAGTGAATCTAAAATATACATTTTAGGATTGATATATGTTTTAAATTTATTATTGGTAGATTTTTTATCCAAAATGAATTAAAGAGTGTGCAAGCAGGAGTCTCAATATCTTGACAACAACATATTCATTTCAATGCAGCTGTGCAACAATAAACTAAGAGTGCATTAAAGCAGTGGTTCCCAACCCTGGTCCTGGAGGCACCCCAACACTGCACGTTTTGCATGTCTCCTTAATCAAAC